CGGCACCGCGAGCGCGGGCAGGGAGCCGCGGCCCCGGGAAGGGCGCAGGAGCCTCCGCGCAAGGTCCGGAGACCTGCGACCCGCTAGGTTTCCGAGGGGGAATCATACTTGGCAAGCACTGTTTGGGGGAAGACAACCGCATCCAAATACTGACTCCTTCTGGGCTGGGGGAGGGGACCGTCGCCTTTACGGCATTTTTGCCTGCAGAATAGTGTGCAAGATGGTACGCAGCTCAGGCTTGTGGCCAGGCCCTGCCCTGGCTTTTCGTTCTTTCTTTCTTTCTTTCTTTCTTTCTTTCGTTCTTTCTTTCTTTCTTTCTTGCTTTCTTTCTTTCTTTCTTTCTTTCTTTCTCTCTGTCCCTCCCTCCCTTCGCCCTCCCTCCCTTCCATTCTTTCTCCCTCCCTCCCTCTCTTCCTTCCTTCCTTTCTTTCTTTCTTTCTTTCTTTCTTTCTTTCGTTCTTTCTTTCTTTCTTTCTTGCTTTCTTTCTTTCTTTCTTTCTTTCTTTCTCTCTGTCCCTCCCTCCCTTCGCCCTCCCTCCCTTCCATTCTTTCTCCCTCCCTCCCTCTCTTCCTTCCTTCCTTTCTTTCTTTCTTTCTTTCTTTCTTTCTTTCTGTTTTCTCTCACTTCTCTCTCTCTCTCTCTCTCTCTCATCGACAAGAAATTGAAATTAATCCTTATGTGGCTAGCTCCCACGAAGCTGGGATTTCAACCTCTTATTTATAATTTAAAGTCAGTGTAGAGTCCGGGGGAAACCCCCCGACTTGGGGTTTCACTAGGATGCTCCCGGGCAGGGTCGCTGACCACAGCACCTGAAGAGCAGAGGAAGGAGAGAGGGCTGGTGGCTTCCAAATGCTTCCGTCGGGGCTCCGTGTTTCGCCCCAACAGACGCCTCTCTGCTTTCTCTCCCCGAGGCCGGCCAGTGTTGCTGCGGACCTGGCCAGGTGAGCAAGGGACAGTCCCGGGGGCAGCGGCCCTCTCGGGAGCCCAGGGGGGTCTGTGAGCCAGCCGGGCGAGGAAGACCGAGAGGCACCCGGGGCCAGCGCGGGGCTCCGGCTCCGGCCAGCAGGGGAACAGCGACACCTACTGGCCGCGCGGGCACCGCGTCGGGGCCGTCGAGGCGGCCTTGGGCTGGGGGCGCCCCGCGGCGTGGATTTGGGAGGCCGCAGGACAGGCACAGCCTCTGCTTCCAGGGACCCTCGGGGACCGTAGGAGGGGACCGAAGCTCGCGAGGGCACACACGCCCTCCAGCCCGAGCATCTTTCTTCTGGGGAACCAGAGGGACCCGCAGACGCGACTGGCCGCCTCCTCCTGGTTCGATGAGAAACCCAGGAGGGCGCTGGAGCCCCGACCTCTTCGGGCTCATGACCCATGCCTCTTCTCCACCACCCCTATTGCCGTTCCGACTAAAGATGCTGTCTTTACAGATTGGGAGCCGAGGAGAGTTTATTATTCTCCCTTCAGAGGGGAAGTATGCGCGCCAAGGACACAGACGCACACGCAGCGGCTGGCCAGGCACGCGGACCGGCCGAGCCCTCCAGCTCGCCGGGATCCGGCACCGTGAGCGCGCTCTCACCGCCGCCAGGGACTGAGCGTTGGTAGCTTTTCTTTAAGAATGATGACCTTAATGACACCGGAAGTAGAGGCAAATTTTAGGCGGTGGTGAAATGTTTGAAACCTAA